ATCGAATTTAGTTAGGTAGTCACTGAGATATCATCACTAAAAGTTAGAAAAATTCTGCAGAAATACAAATAACAAAATTGGGTGGGTATGAATAACAGCTGCCTAAATGAACAATCAATATACTTGTATTCTATCGTAAATAAATAAGCACATACCTCACTTTTTTAATATCAGATTAACAGGAATAACTTGGCTAAAGTTCTGAATAGTAACTTTACAGAAACCTGTATTATATTTATTATATATAATAATAATCATATAATCGTTATATCTTTAAAATATTATTTTTAAAAGAATATATTAAACATATATTAAAATATATTGAAAATATATTGAAAATATATTAAACATATATTGAAAATATATTAAAAATATATTGAAAATATATTAAATATATATTAAAAATAGAATTATTATTATTTACACCACTGGTTATAAATAACCACTCCTATTAAAACTTAGAGTTAGGGTGCAGCTCTGAGATTAATAGGAGTTTTTTATATAAAATGTTTTTTTTTTATATAATATAATATCTATTGAATATAAGGTCCCGATCTCAGTTCTCGTGAGGTTTTTGGGGTCCTGGACATTTTTACTTAGAGTACCCGATCTCGTTTACTTAGTACGTTATTGAGATATTAGCACACTGGTTATCCTTAACCACTGGTACATGTTAAAAGTGTCCATATTTAATATATTCTTTAAAAAATAATATTTTAAAGATATAACAATTATATGATTATTATTAAATATATTTGGCAAAAATACAGGTTTCTGTAAAGAATTTTCGAAATCGGACCAATGCCGTAATATAATTTTATTACGTAGCTATTATATTGGTCCGGATTACCCTTCTCATCGCGATTTCCGCTAATCTGACATTAAAAAAAAAGGTGGTTAGTGTGTTTGGTGTTTATTTACGATAGAATACGGTAATATAAAATAGAATCTTCCATTTTTTTGACGTGTTTCTAATATACAATCCTTGTAGATAAATCCCTTTTATGTTTGGACACATCGAGTAAACCACTTTTTATGAAAATAGACAAAATGATCGCTGATTCCAAAGTGTTAGACTCTATAAGAAGGTATTGTTTCACATTTTGTATATACCGTAAACTGCCGTATACAAGATCCTCCCAGATAACATATCCTATATATCAGAAATGTCATGCATTTTAAATTTTTTCTTCTTATGGTACAAAACTCTCCACCATTTACCAGACCCGGGTCTAATATAGGTTTTAATATTGGTGAAATGTAAGAGTTCCAGGCCTTTTACACGGCAAGTATACGGTAATTTATTCGTAGAGATCCAAGATTAGTCGATTGTTTTAAAATACTGGCGGTACATGTACGTACGTACAATACCAGATACGTACCTAATATCACATGTGCATATAACGGTAACACAACTTTAAAATTATATATTGATATGGTCAAAATCATCGATCATAGACATATCGATATAGAACGATAATCAAAAAAATTTTTGTTTTTCTTTTGAGAAAAAAAAAAAAAATTGATATTAACAATGATTCGATTATCATACAATAGGATTAAGGATTACTTTTACAAATCAAATAATATCCAAACAATTATCCAAAAAACAATAAGCCCAAACTTTAATTATGTTGGCAATAAAAAAATAATTCCTATTCGACCAATTACAACAAATAGTACAAATAATTTTTACAAATCAACCGAATATATGAATAGAAATGTTAAATCAGGAATTATTATATTTAAACGTAATGTTACTATGGAGAGTGCCACAAATGATAATAAAGAAACTTCATTGACGGATACAACGCCAAAGTTGTTAAACTATCGACCTCGTTATGATCGTGATGGGCAAGTGTTACCTTCATTGCCTTTGGAAAAAGTTGAGGAACTTTTATACGAACGAATTAAATGGCAAAGTGAAAATATATATGATCGTGTTAATTATGAGCTATTAGAAGGTATATATTGTATAATAAAAATTTAATACTATAGATTTTTATTTATTTTTTTTTTTTGGAGACAATATTTGATTATTTTGTTAATATGTAGATTTTTCTGCTTGGCTTCAAGGCTGTAAAATGCAACATCTCGCATATTTATTCGATGGAAAAAACTGGAGAAAAATAATTAATATGAATGCTAGAGATTTAGAATTTTTAGGTGTCAAGTCAGCAACTTTTAGACGGAGATTAACAACCTATTTTTGGGTTATACGATTAGATCTCGTGAGTTTATAATTAAAAAAAATATATATATATTTTAAATAATATTTACATAATTAAAATAAATAAAAGAGTTGATTTATTTTATAATATTAATATATACCAAAAAGTACTTATATACTCTTGTTTAATCCAGGCAGCTAAAGAAGAACGCGTATTTAGATATAAAAAGATTAGAACAACACCTGATATTACACCAGAATTATTAGAGGGTACTTTGTATAAATAAATAATAAATAAATAAATGAGTAAATAAATAAATAATATATATATTTATAGATAATTATTTATTTTTTAAAAAAAAATAGATTTCCAAACATATCTTAATACTGTAGGGATGAAACAATACGCTTCAAAGTTTGAAGGGAAAAAATGGCAAGATATTCTTGAATTTAACTATAAAGATTTAGTGGCATTGGGAATTGAATCTATTGAGGATCGAATTCTATTGATTAAGAGTTTTTGGAAGGCCAAACGTGTAATTGTAAGTAGAATTTTCGGGGAAGAAAAATTTTTAAAATACCATATTTATTAATCGAATATTATTTGCATCAATTGTAACTTTATTAAAGATCTATACAGAGAAGATAAAGAAAGCTTCTGAAGTGGATGTTAGTGGTGAGAATATGTAGGTCAAAAATTTATAATAAACCAATGATTTTAAATGTTTTTAGAGAATGTAACCGTCTATGAGTGAATGGCTTTGGTAAGAAGAATCGTGTTTCTATGTATGGGTAATTATTTTCGGAGGATATAATCAATTGCTATCCATAGATATAATCAAGTGTTATCCATAGATATAATCAAGTGTTATCCATATTATTGTATATCACTTATCTAACGGATTTTTTGAACCGATTATATGATAAAGAATAAATTATAATAAATTGCAATACTTGTGCATGCGTAATGTTGTTACCTTATCATCTTTATCATATTTATCACATTGATTTTTCAAACATAAATGGAAATAATAAATAAAAAATTTAAATGTTTAAAAAGTGAACTCGAACACATTATATATTTGATATTTGTCTTGGCAAAATAAGTTTAGAATTGTTGTATTCCTATTTTTAAATACGAAGTTCTTTGGTAATTTATTCAAGATAAGAGACCCAATTCTAAAAATCAGCCAAGCTACCTATATAAGTTAATATTCTATAAGATTGAATTGGGTTTTGTGTTATAAAGTTTTAGAGCACGAAGTTTATCATTAATAAATTAGAAATATTAAACACCAAAAAGATTAGTCATTCCAATCCAATTATGAATCATCGCGTTCTGATCCGCGATAATTGGTACTATATTATGTTTACTGGCAATTTGCATTCAGCAAATTCAGAAAGATTTCGGGGGATTAGCTCCGAACACATTACCATTAAGTATATTAAGTATTAGAAACCCATATATGGGGAATAGACTAGAAAAAAAACTATCGTTCGAGAAAGTGTTCTCGTGGCACAAATTTTCAATTCTAGATTTTGGTTTAATTTTTGAACGACCAAGATTCATACGCTTGAATTTAAAAGTTAATTAGTAAGAAATGATTTTTCTCAGTTAGAATATTTCGTCAATTTTGGTTAATTTGACGCTGAATAAATTTCATAATGTATAAATAAAAACAATATTTTAATTAGAAATCAAAAATACACGCGCCATAGCCACATATAGATATCTATTTGGATTAATTCCGGTCTATTCGGAATGCACTGACATGTGATCATAATCACGAATAACGTAGTTGATTGGAAATTTCCAGAATTATCCAGATTATCTGGAGCATTAGTAAAAACTCATTAATAATGTAACACAATTGTACAACACAGGTAATTAGATGAATAACGCGAATTTTAAATAAATAATCTGTCATTTCAAGTACTAAAGTAATGTTTAAAAGTTAACATGAAGGCCCGCAACAGACTTTACGGCCGAAAAAGGTGAGCAAGAGACTCTTATTTCTTACAAAACTATAAAGATGGAAGAAATTTATTATCATTACAGCATTAGGAATATCGGAATTTTGCGAAAATGATAATCGTGATTTCCAATTTGAATTATTAAAATTTTTATACAAATTACGTATGTACGTACGTATCCATATCTTAGTGTTAACTTACGTTTTCGTGCATTGTTCTAGGAAATGAAATTCCGAACATCCACATGTCACATCATGTTTTATTTTACATCATTTATACAGCTTAAAGTATACTTTTTATTTTATTTTATTTTTTAAAGTGTTATAATGTTATAATTAAATAGCAAGTACTCTAGGTGACATTTGTTTAAAAAAGTCAGCGTAGAAGAATCTTGACTTCACCTGGTTATGAACGTTATTACTAACGAGAAATTATTGTTATTTGTCTATGTAACTATACAGTATAACTTTATTTAAAATATATATTGAATATATTAAACTTTAATATACAGATAAATATATATTTATATTTTATAGTTTAATTTAAAGCAATACATATAAAACTATAAATTTTTTTTTTTTTTTTTTTAGTCGATACATTTATCGTTGGATCTTCAGCGGATCAATCTTTTCCCGCACATTGCATCATTATTTTATATTTAGAACAGATCTACAGTTACACCAAGATTCGCAAGCTTAATAATATATTTTATGAAGATGATTAATTTAAAATTGTATAATTATTTCTGTTGGTCCGCAGTTTCTAATTAAATATAAATATGTGCATGAATTAATCAACTCGAAGAAAAAAAAGATTGAAAAATAATTATATAAAAAAATGAATGCACAAATGGCCGATGAACATGTATTTGTTGACTCGACGGTGGTTAAGAAAGCAGCACCTATTAACAAAGATCCAAACGATATCAGGATGAAGTTTCCACCTTCTATTGAAGCTAAAGACTTGATCTTGAAACCAACTGATGGTAAAAAACCAAGAAGGTCGCCAAACGCATTCATTATTTATAGAAAATTATTCGTTCAGACAGCGAGAGCAAACGGATATAATTTACAAATGACGGAAATATCGAAGACAGCATCTAAATCATGGGAAAATGAAGCAGAGTATGTTAAAAAATATTATAAACGACTTGCTAAAGAAGCATATAAATATCGTAGCGAAATGTTTCCCAAAACCGATCGAAGAAAAAAAAGACAACAATGGAATATTGTTTCTTTTAAATCGACGTCAGATGAACAAGAATCTCATAACGATACAGATTCCACGTCTTCTACGTCAAATCAATCCCCATTATTTTCGTCGCCGATGTTACTAGAGGAGGACACATTCAATCCTACAGATGATAATCATATTGATAATAATGATCATTTTAATGACCATATTATCTATAATAATCTAACTCAAAATAACGAAATAAATCCTTTTCCGTTTAATATTCCATTAAACGCACTCGAACTTTATGCTGCAGCAAGCGCTATCGATTTACAACAGACTTGGCCTAGCGAAGATCTAATAGATTGGTCTAGTCCGGAGTTATCTACGAGTAATAGTTTCTCTCCAGAAATGAATGAATTTAACGATTTTAATGAAATTGGAGAAATTAACGAATCATATCCACCGCATATAATACATAACGAGTTTTATAATTATGACGAAACAATTAATCAAAATATTTTTGAGATAGACACAAATACATGTATCAATTATAATAATGAGATTAATTCGAATAATCCATTATGGTTTCAACCTGGAAATTTACCGCTAGGTTTAACCCAAGAATCCGATAATAATTCATCTTTTTACCTTTAAATAAACATTTCGTATAATTTGCATAATTATATGCTAGTTTATGTATATATATATATATATTCATTTTATGTGAAAAATATTTGAAAAAAAATTTTAAGAGAATAAGTAATTAAGTTGTATTAAGAGAAAAAAAAAACCGCATACGTATATTAAATATATGCGATAAGAATTTTTTTAAAATAATAATAATAATATATAGACTGATGGACATTGTATAAATCGGGAAATTTTAGTGGGACTTTGTTGGATTCAAATATATTTTTTATATATATATAAATAAAGTAAATAAATCGGAGAATTTAAATTCGGACAATTTTTGACAATTTTAACAGAGCTGTGTTGGATTAAAGTACTTATCGATTGAAAATTTATAACTATAGATAAATATAGAAAATTTACCTATTTTATGATTATCGTTATATGAATAAAGACAGTAGAAAATTGTCTGGGGACAATTATGTAATACAAATTAATATGAACAATAAAGCTAAAATTTAATAAAAATACATACATTGATTGGAATTAGTTGTGTTTGTTTTTTTTTTCTAAAAAAAATATTATAGATATGGAATTATATGCTAACCGTAATCTATAGTTATCTCAATTGTCTTGGCGGAAAAATGTACTTATAACGCTGCCTGTTGGCGGAAAAACATATATGCGATGTACCCGTTAGCGGAAAAACATATATACATATGACAATTTCCATTTTCGCTTAATAACAAATATAAAAAAACTTTATGAATTCAAATGTATCATAACCGTTACTCGTAATACAAATTCACGTGATTTTATTTATCTCTATATCGAGGTTCCATATTGTTATTTTTGAACATGAATCAAAAGCCTTTTTAGCATATTGATTGATGTAAATTGTAGATTTGTAATCAGTAATGTAAAAAAATAAAAAAAAAACATTCGTTTTTGTTCGTATGCAAAATAATTAATTATCCATATTTAACTACATAACCAAACACGAACATATAGATATGTATCAGGTATATTATGTCACATCACACGTACGTACGCGCTAACTTAAATTACGTGCACATCGTACGTACATTACGCAAAAAAATGGTGATTCATTGGGAAATTGTTGTTACTGCTCCACTCCACTGCTTCATTGGGAAGTTTACCTACTCCAGCCTATATTATAGATATCTGATATATATTTAGCATTTCGATTTATTTTAAGCAAATAATTTATTTATAACCAAAATTTCTTTATATGTAAGTAAAATTACTCCATCGATTCCATTTCTCATCAAAAAAATTGCTCCCATTTGCTAATTTGCCAATATGCCAAATCTTTTTCACGTATCGTACGAAAATAAATTAGAATAAAGTCGATATTCATTTGAGTAACAGTGTTCACTTGAAATGACGCTATTTTCAACAAATTAAGCGTATAGTCGACGATTCTTGTTTGGATCGTCATTTATACAGTTATATTGATTACTAATTAGATAATTTAATGAAGATTATCGGATAATTATTCTCCGTGTACAAAAAAAATTTATATCCAATGAATAACTTAAAAAAAGGTAATGAAATCCAAATAAGTTATATTGCATATGCAGGTGCATTTTTGTAATGCCAAGCACGGTACTGTTAAAATATAATGCCCGTATCTGTGGCTGCAGAACTATTCATGATAATGCAAATATTCAAATTCGTATTGCATGATAAGTGGATAGTATAATATTGCGTGATAATATTGTGTGTTAATGTTGCGTGATACGTACAATTTAGTGCCTCTTTTTATTGCATATATAAATTTTAATTACTTACCATTATAAGGTATCTATCATCAACATTTCTTATTTTTCATTCGAATTTAAAAATTCCTGTAACACCAAATAAATTAAGAACGTTTGTATTCTGTATTAGGTATTAGGTTCTGCAGCTCGAATATAGTTCAAAAAAAAAAAGATTCCTAATTGTTCTTGTTCAGAACTTATGAGAAATTATTAAGAGTTTCTACTAAAAATAATGAATCATGGGGTTATTTTCATATTCCGTGTGGAACAAATTAAAAAGTATGGAATAATACTTCCTACTATCATCGCAGATCTACCAAGAAATTTGCCTGCGAGGCGGGTAACTCCGATCCGATTATGATAAACATACGTACGTACGTCTAATTATCTATTATAACACCAATTATATCTCATGACCAGGGATCCACAAGTGTGTACCGCAGCGTGCCACTCTGTCCACATTCGTAACATTAATGACGTAATGTTCATTATAATAATCTGCTTTAAGTTGTTGATCATTCATATACCAGAGATGTCAATGAAAAAAATTTTATTGATTTACATAAGTACAGTACATCCCGTCAAGTCTACAGATACGTACAGTACATAATCACGTGATTTCCCACGTGTCAGATATCATAAATGTTAGTTACATATAACTTCATAAGAGTTGATGAAAAACTTACTAAAGAGGCAAAGAGACAAAGAAGTAAACATATTAATTAAACATGTGGAATTATATGGTAACTAAAATGTTGTTTCGAATTAGATATTACAAAGCCGATTTAGTGGTATCATGCGCAGGATAAAGGTGAACAATCTGTGTCTTCCAATTTTCTTTGCATTAATAAGTGGGTAAACTTTGTAAAATAATTCGGATTTATTATTACAAACCATTATTAACTTTTTGACCATATGTGCACAAGTATGAATTTAATTTAAGCCACTTTGACCATATGTGCACAAGTATGAATTCTACCTAGAATTATGCATGACCAAATTATGCACATCATTTGTCAATGATCATTTGACCAAAATTATACCGGCTAATTGAAATCCCGTACGGAGCCTAAAAATCCCGCAAATCCCGAATGTCGATTACTAATATATTGGACATAAGTTAGTCACTATTAATCACTACGTACGTACGCACGTACAAACATAATACGCAAAAAAAAATTTATATCGTTCTAAACTAATAATGACTGATAACATTAAGAAGCATAAATTAGACTTTTCTCGAATATAAAAGTGCTGCGCCACTGATAGACATGCCAAAGATCAAAACTTTATATATCGGGCAAGCGAACTAGCCATTTATACTAAATGAACTTGTTAAGATCAGTATTTTGTACTTATCATAATGATAAAATTTTAAATATGAATAAAATCTTATGTTTCACACTTTAATGTTAATGAATTTCTTAAGAATTTCAATCATCTGTTATTATGTAAAAACTTTGCCATTATTATATAATGTCCTGAACATGCTTAGCTTATATGACGTATTTGACGTGTACAGTTGTATTCTTTTATAGTGATTGTGATCATTAATGAATTAGGCACATTGATAGAATATTCATTAAGCATTGACCATATGAAAAATTAAATTTAAAATTAGATGCATACATACTGTATTTCGTAAGCTAAACAACCCTTCCCTTTAAGTATTTACCATAGGACAGGGTTGGCAATGGGGCCCGACGGAGCAAATGGAGTCAATGGATGCTAGTTTTTTGAGCTCCATTGACTCCATTACCAACCTTGCCATAGGGTGGTTGGTGCAAAGTAGATGGCGTCGCCATGGCGCAAAAGTGGCGAGCCAATCGCAATAAAATTTAGATCCTAAAATTTTCCGGCACTGTGGCATAGCAAAAAAGTTCCGACCGGGTCGCCCGTGGATATACGTATTATACTATCGGGAAATTTCGGAATGGTAGACAGTCAGCAAACATTAATACGAGCAAGGTCATTGAGAATCCCGGAATATTTTTTTTTAGTTTAAAATTTACCTGAGTGATATCTTTCCGATGAGTGACCCATATGGAGTTTTTTTAGACGGGTCCGGGTCAGAACATTATATGAACGGTACACTATATGGCATAACATACGCCAAAAGATATTAATAGATGTTAATGGCATGCCATTAAAAGATATTTGCGCCAACCACCCTAATTCACCAGCTTTCTAGACATTTTTAAATTTGGCGGTCATTTATTGTTATATATGGTATTGGGTAGGGTAGTATAAAAATATAAATGTAAAATTTACACTACTATAGTATTATGATCCAAGTATAAAGCTGTGAAAATTTTGTTGAAACACAAAGTGCATCTATATTAGATAACCTTATCCAACGATCTGTTCTGGATTTTAAAAAGGAAACTTGGCTTAATGATTTGAAAATATAATTATGGTGTTTGAAATAAACTCGACTTTAAAACAAATACTCGAAATTTATTAATTCCAATCCCTAATATTTTATTCAAATAAAATTCTTTAATTATGAAGCAAACCATATCCATAGACTGGTGAATACATCCAGATCATAAATGCACCTGATTTATTTTGTCATCCTTATTATTGCTTATTTTAGGCTAGATAATTTATAAGTTATATGAGAAGCAGACTATCTAGGAACATTCAAAATGTGCAGCACTATGCCATACCAAACAACTTTAGGTATCGCACCTACAAAAAAATTTTTAGAAAATTTACTAACATGACGGTAGGAATGGCAAATAAAACGTGATATAATAGTTGCTTAAAAATACATCATGATATAATGATCTCATCTCTTGAATGTGTGCCAGGCATATTGATGATTTGTCCATATCTTAATTGTGTTTAACTACATTACTTCTTAACGCTAATGTTAGAATAAGGCTTAAGACGAAAGTAGAATATTTAAATATTCGTTCTGGGTTCCCAAATTTATATACGTATTTAATTGAATATTCGAAATATCACAAGTTGAATGTATAATTAATATTCATGAATGTATGGGCTTCCTGTACGAAAAATGCGCAGCAATGACCAAAAAACAAAACTCATACTAAGTAAAAATGTTCTGAGCTAATTTTATTATAAAGTAAACCTATTATCTAAAAATTTTCTTTTTTTGGAGTAAAAAATTATTAAAATTAAAATTCCGGCTAAATTAAAAATTTTGAAGATCATCGATTATGTTAATGCAGGCCAAAGTACCGTACATTATTGTTTTTGTACTGATTACGTCAT